AATCACGACATCAATGTATGTTAGATGTGATGAAACACTTGGAGAACAGAAAGTGCGGCAAAACTGGTGTTCAATACTGGACTTCATATGTGTATCGAGAGTGGAGTCAAGTGTTTATCAATCGTACGAACAATGAGTGCTTTGTTTCACCCGATTATCGACTTTTGAACACTAAGTGTAAGACTGAATGCAAACGATATGTCACTGAATATGTGGAAAACACAGTAAATCTATCGCATACCCAACAACATAATAAAGTAAACAATAAGTTTACAATGATTGAATTTCCATATAATTCAAATATAACAATGATTTGGAATTTATGTCCGAAAATGGATTTAATTACATATTTATCAACAATCGGTGGACTAATGGGAATGTGGATGGGATTCAGTGTACACTCAATATTATATGATATCATGGTCAAAATACATAAAACTATTAAGCCATACAACATTAGTAGTAAAAATTTTAAAAACTTTAACAAACTCATTAAAGTAATATCATTAATGTTTTGTATATGTGCTATGTTTTATCAATTACGAGATATTTATAATGATTATCAAGAATTTAACGTTAAATTGCAAATTGAATTAACACAAGTACTGAGAATACCAGGGTTATCATTTGAAATTGATATGACGTTTAGAAACCCAAACATATTAAAGAAATATGATCCACGATTATATAATTGGTACATGAAAGAGTAAAAAAAAGTAAAATACAATTTAATTGGTATTAATGAGCTAAATAATGTTCTATATAAATTTTTATTAACGGTAAATAATCTAGATGATTTTAGAAATATTGTTTACGATTACAAACACAATGTACTAGATTGTTATTTTCAATTCACCACCGGATATAAGCTACCATGCCCACCGCATGACAATATATTCAATGTGCATAATAGATCAATTACAATCTACCAAAAATATTTCACAAACATATCAACTACATATTTAAATCATTTTCAAAAACAATTAATGGATAAAAGATTAGCAAGGATAGTTATTTCCTATAGAAAAGGTGGTTCTAATTTTATGGATTTCAGTGTACTATCGACTCATAAACACAATGAAATACTTTTGCCTTTAAATAGCGAAACAAATATAATGTTTACTTCGCATTCAATTTCCCGATTAAAAAGACCTGGATTTCAGTGTTCAAAGGGACTTGCACATTTTGACAATATATTTTATAGCAATAATATGGACACCGATTATTCCGATTGTATTATATCCGAGTACAATAACTCATTTGGATGTCTAGCTCCATTTTTCTATAAATACTATATTTATATCGATAGACATTTAAATGACATGGGGTATAAATTTTGTGAATTTAGATCATTATTTACTATAGAATCATTTTATAGTAAAATTAGATTAAAATGTCTAAAACATTATTATGATTTATGCTGTAAAATGCAGTTTGAAATACAAACTAGGACAATCAGGTCAAACATTAATTACACGCAAATTAATTTAATCCCAAAATATGATTCCGAACCTCAAGTGGTGGAGTACTTGGCCATGGATTTCAACGATTTAATCTATAATATCGGGGGTACTATAGGCATGTGGATCGGCATATCTATGCTATCATTTCATAATATAGTTAATTATTTAATTATTATATTTAAAACAATATTTAATTATTGCCAAAAATTTTAGAAATTAATATTAATATAATACAGTTTTTGTCCCAGATCAAATTACAGTCAACGGTGTGATAGCTAAAATTTAATATATTCATAATTGTATTAAATATTTTAACATCCAGTCTGTTAAGTAACATTTGATATTTAGTGTCCAGGTACACAAATTTAGGCGCATGAAAAATGTTAATATTATTTATATCATATTATTTATTTAGTTTTAATATAAATTAATAATTAATAAATAATAATTATTTATTGCACAACATACAATATCATATAATTGTTATACATACTGCACGTAAAAATATTAAATTTTATAAAGTTAATATTTTAAATATAATAAATAACACTGATCCATACTCTCATACAACAGATTTTCAAAAAATATAATTTACTAAAAATTATTCACCATGTACAGTACTCGTATGACATTTCAGTGATTTATTGTTTATTGCAGTATTTTTGACAATAATATTATTACTATAGCAATACTTATTTGGCAACATAATGTGTTAAACTTAAAACTAAATGCTCATTTAAATGCGTTTGAGCACCGGTATGTCCCGACGGTCCGTTACAGTGGTGTTGGACTCATACCACCTAAACTTCAGAGCCGTTCCCTTCAGTTCAGTCGTTCCCCTTTTCAGTGAATGGTGGGTCACTAAACTGTTTGACCGCAAGCCGTAAATAAATTTATTTATAAAAACATAATTAAAACATAAATATAAGTCAAAAAAATAAAATTCAATTTGACAAATAAAAGTGTACAAGGTCATCATACCGTATATAAACCGAATCGGCATAAATGACTACTTCTTGGTAGTCATCAACTTCGCCAATATTTTCGGTGATTATCTGCGTTTTGCTTAACTCCCGGTGCTTTGACTGAGAGCCGGGTCCTATAACCACGTAATCGCCAGAATCCACATCAATGTCCAGGTATTCAATGTATATCCTAATGGGGACACTAATATCCACGCCTCCGGTGGGCGGCGTAGGTATCAGTTTATATGTGATGGAAGTGTTTGGGACGTAAGCGACCTCTTGATGGTGGTCCTCATCGTACTTCCCATACAGTTCCCGCTCAGAGATGTTCCGGAATTGTACCACAAAGTAATAGATATCAAGAGAAAAACCCTTTAATTGGAAAGGGTCGTTATACTTGACTATTAAATGCCGAACATCCAGTTTAGGGTCAATACCTAGTTCCTGGGTTTTTGTTAGGTCACCAGGTTCAGGTAACATAATTTCTACTCTAACCTAAAAGAAAATCAATCCAATTTGTAGTTTAAATTCAATTTCAATTCACGTTTCAAACTATAATTTACTTTCTGTGAGTTGAGGTGTCAATGAGAACTGAGAGACAAACAAATAAATACTTACTTTTCAAACATTTATCTGGTAATTGACATAAGTTATTGAAAAACATCACAAATACTTACTTTATTAGAGTCGGACACAAAGGTCTCATAATTACTTTGGTCATCGTAATAGTTACACATATCGGTGTGACCCTCGTTACTAAAACTCAATAATTGTTGTTTGGACTCCTCGTCATATATCAATAGCTGACCATAAGGTTTACTACACACCTTCACCATCATTGCGATATATGAGGTATTGGACAGTGGGAGGGGATAGGGTCCCTGAATATCTTTATCATCCATATGAAAGTATACGGGAAATAAAGGCACTTTCTAATTGAAAAAGATATTTGGTGTATTTAAATCAGGGATTAATTAATAATTAATTCATTTCGGAATATATACCTGATCATTCACTGTAGGTGTTAGTATAGGACTGAGCAAACAGTTAGCTTTGGGCTCACTTTGTTCACCCAATTTATTACATAGATTTAACGAATGGCTTATATTAGTGCCATGTTGTGGTAATTGTGCATTAGCTTGCTTGTTTTCAAAATTTTCACGTTGGTTTATTGTAAAATTATCTGAAATATTAACAATTTGCATTTATAAAATTTAAAGTTCAATTTAAATATTTAAGAATTTTTATTTTTAATAAATAAATATTAATTATACAGTATAAATGAATAGTATAGAAATTATTTTAGACCTTTTAATCCGATCCCAAATATATCCCTAAATCTTATAACACTATTATTTGTACCACCAGTGACTCCATCGACAAAAATGTCCACTAATTTGGGTTCACTTCTGGATATGAGTTCCTGAGCAGTGAAATACTGTCCACTCGTTTCATTCGTTATATTATTATCGGCATAAGTATCACAAGAATTGCCAATTATATACACTAAATATATTGAAATTGTAAGCACTTTATGAACTACTCTAAGGCACATTTTGTTTAAAAACATTGTGTGAATGGTTTAGTTGAAATTCATAGAAAACTTACATAACTATTAAATTAATAATAGTGAATTAATTAAAAAATGTACAATGAATAAAATTTATTAAAAGCTAAAAGTCAACACAAAATAACATTAATTGAATATTCAGTATGAAATACACAGACAATAACCATATCGACACATATGTTACTTCACAACCGATAATGAAATAAAAGCTTTATATAAAACTATTTACTAAATGATTAGTGTTTTATCAAAAACCTTCTAAAATATGAACTATCTCAATTGCAAAAATAACTATTAATTTACCAAAATCGTTTGACTAATCATTGGAAGAATGTTTTCTAACTAAACAACATATCTTATCGTAACACTTTTAACCTCATATAACATTTATCCTCAATTATTAGACATTATATTACAATAAAATGTGATCAATAGGTTAATATGAAACACACATATTCGCTGACTTAACACTACATTCATATGTATCCAAATTAACTCCCATTTTATTAATCAACAACATATGATCAGGAACATTCTGAATCATTCGATGTGTCTGTCCAAGCAAACTGTTAACTCAAGTATTTTACATAATACTATATTATACCCAAATTCATTACTATATGATATTAAGAAAAATACTTGAGTTTACAGTTTGTTTTCACAGACACATCGAATGATTCAGAATGTTCCCGCTCATATCTAAACATTTAATTAAACTCAGTCATAATTAAACATGTTACAAATTACAATCTGATTGTAGAAAAAATAAGCTACCTATTTTTAAAAACTAATACTATACAGATGCTTATTAATACGTGTTATACTAATTCCATGTTATCGTATTAAAACATTAGATATGTTAGTTAAAGCACAAATTGTTAGCTTGATAATATTGATCAGAAATGGAATCATGAATAGAAATATAGTTCTTATAAATGTAAGCATGTTTATTTATTTTATTAATTCAACTCTCTTATAATTTTTAATTGACAATGTATGATTTACCATGGCTTATTTAAAACCAAGAGATGATCCAAAAAAACTATAAGTGAATAACGATTTATTAAAAAGGGTACAATGAAAATTCATTGAGTGCTTAGTAATTATAAACAAAAGCTTTCAACCACAGTTTAGTGACTAAACTTTAATCATTCAAAGTAATATGTTTCTAATGTGTGAGCAAGATAAAATTTTAAACTCTGTATACTTTACATTTGATTTTAAAGCTTTAAATGGGTTTTCATTGTATCCTTTTTAATAAATCGTCTCTCAAGTATCATTCAAAGTAATATGTTTCTAATGTGTGAGCAAGATAAAATTTTAAACTCTGTATACTTTACATTTGATTTTAAAGCTTTAAATGGGTTTTCATTGTATCCTTTTTAATAAATCGTCTCTCAAGTTTAAAATTAAATGCATTTACATTAAATACGCAATTTAAATATAAACACAAGTTTAATATAATTACTCCCGTATTAATTTTTAACAATGATTTAATATAATATTAAAAACATATGAAAACACATAAAAATAATGAAAAAACATGGCGTCGAAGCGAAAGCGAGACGCTTTACAAAATTCTGTCTCATTTGCTAATTCACTTCAAATAGCTATTGTAGACAAGTTTTCTGAACACCAAAAGACATCAAAGGACCTTGTTAAT